ACCTTCCATGCAGAATAAGGTCTATCCAGGGAGGGAAAAACAAGGTGCCACTGCAGCTGGTAAAACAAAGATATTTTTAAAGTGCAGTCAGTAGAAACAGTCACTCCTATTCCATGTATAATCAAGGATGAAAAGGCCACGAAAAATACCACTGCGCTTTGCAAATGAGAGGTCAATTGAAATGTCAAGTTATCAGATGTTAATGGATTGCATTTCCAATGATGGTTGGGACAGAAAACCGTACCAAGTCAAGTCAGATGCCCTTCTGAGGAGAAGATGAATTTTATGGTAGGAAAAGACAATAAACACCAAAAGTCTTTCTGGTTAACAAACTTGTGGCTGATGGAAAACAAATATATTTTGAAAATATAAAAAGCATCGGGATTTTAACACAAGCTACAATCCCAAAACATGTATCTGGAAGTCATTAAATCTGCAGCAAATTTAAGCATATGCAGGTGTTTGGGGAAAATGCCATTGCTTTCTATTGAAGATTTTTAAAGGGACTATAAAAGAAGGGAGTATAAAGGACACTCGAGGAAGGCAATGTTTTCTTCCCTGAAGCAAGAAGTCAGTTCCAATATTCTCACAGTTCTACAGCAGTTCACGGACTACACGGACCACTCTTAAAAACATTCATTTTCCATTTAAAAAAATCTAATTTCCCTCTTACAAAACTGTTGTATTTTGTAGTGTTGGATGACATCAGGTTTTACCCAAATCATTCTTTCACTTGCCCACATTTTCCCAGGGAATCCATTTGGCCATTTTCATAAATGACTGCAATCTGAGGCATTTGTTTAGAGTGACATTATATCCAGTCCTTAGTCCAAAGGGCATTGCCATGGAAAGAACTCATCTCTTTAATATGGGAAACAGTGAAAAGAAAGTAGCTATCTTCCTAACTGCTGTCTCGGCCCAACCAGTAGACACACAGCCTTCCTTTCCCAATTGCAGAGAGACTTGCCTTGTGTCTATATTAGCTCACTGGTGGGCTCACACACTGAGAGGGAAAACAGCATTACCAGTGGCTTTTGAGTAAGAAGACTCCTTGGTCTATGGGACAGAGATATGTAATATCAGGAATGAAGAACAGTGAGTAATCAATTGCGCTTTTGTGTAAGAATAACCACTTGCATGGATTCCAGTGAATATATGAGGAAAGGGGTTTAAAACAAACAAAAGACTATTTTTTTCACAGTGCCACAGGATGTTGTAGGAACAAGAAGTATAAATGGATTTGAAAAGAGATTTTGCATGGACGATAAGACCATTGGCACCTCCTGAACACAGGACGTGCAGTTATGGAAGTGTAAAAAGCTGCGTGCAGGCAGGTGGGAGGGCACTCCCAGTGGATGATGCCTCTGCAAGTGCTCTTCTTCTTCCCCCACCTTCTGCCACTGGCAGAGATAAAGCACTGGGTTGGTTGGCCTTCAGTCTACATTAATGTACAGGCTTCCAAACCAAGTGTGTTTGTACTTGAGAGTGAGGCCTAACCCTGACTGTGCCTGGATCTGAGGGGATCCTGCAGCTCAACCCACTGATAAAAGACAAGTGATGTGGCCCAAGTCAACATGAACGTGATTCCTCAAGGCCCTATGCTGATGTGAGCTCTCATTGCCTACCCAAGCCTGGAAAAAAATCTGGGAAGAATAATCATCAGCTGGGTTTCAGAACAAAGCTACTCTTGAATTTTAATGTTATTGCTCTTTTCCCCCTCTTCCATCAAATCACAGGGTATAGAATATTATTTCCTCTGGATGTGTCCTAATTCAAAACCACTTCTCATGTAACAGCTCTTTAGAAAATGTAAGCCTTCCACAGGGTAAACTTGTTTAAGTCATGTTACCTCTTTCAGACTCAGGGATAGGAAAGAGCATAAGGACCAGGAACTAAGTAAGAAAGTATCTAGGACTTTGCATCGAGGAAATACCTTTTCTGCTACAGACTCACAATCTAAATATGGATAAAACCAATGGGAGAAAGCAAGTGCTCCTTATATGACAAGGACAGGAAAGGATAAATAAGTTAAATGTAATGGATTCTGCAGTTTGGGGACCACCTTGGTGCCACATACGGACAGAAAAGGGTCTTACTATTCTGGAAAAGCAACCGCACTATTTCCACCCCCCCCCCCCCCCCCCCCCCCCAAAAAAAAATAATCAGTTCTGCAGACACAGAGACTTCTCAGTTATTTTCTGTGTACTTATTTATAGTAATATTGTGCCAGATGACTCTACCAATACATAAAGATGAGTTCCTATGGATGTGTTGTCTTGCAGAACTACAAGCAACATAGAACTGAGACCAAGCCTTCTGAAGGAGCTCAATGCCATCTGCATCTACCTTGGCCATCAGAAGTTCACAGCAGTTAGTCTAAGCACCTATAGACACCTGGATGTTAAGAAATCAGGTGCTTGGCTGCCTTATTTGAACTGTAGTAAGGAAACTTCCTTGGTTTTTTCCCTCCGTAAGTGTTTTAGTGCTGGAGAGATTCAACAGAACAAAAAAGAACAGTGAACTTCCTCCTGAACATGAAACCAGCAACATTAATAAACTGAGCAATGGAAAGTAAACAGACCATTTCTACAGAAGTCTTCATCATGTTCCTAAACTAATGTTAAATAGTGGCACTATTAGGCCCCGTCCAAGGACTCTAAATAAACCATAGTCTTTAAAAGGAATTATTTCTGATTCCAGTTTTGGGACACAGGAACTATGTCAGCGCAATGTAAAAACACGGAAAATTTTTATGCTAATGACAACTGCGAATATTTTATATATATATATTTATATATGTAAAAAAAAATATATATTGTAAAATATGTCAAATGTAGTAAGATTCAACTCAACTTATTAGTGCATGGCTTTTAGCCAAAAGCAATTCACATTTGCAGAAGTGTACTATCACATATGTCTTAATAACAGAAATGTGTTTTTAAAAATGTATGTGATAAGTCACATATGGTAGAAGGAATCTGTACAGCTTTCAGCCCTTATGACAATGGAAGCTACTAACTTTATTTTGCATAGCTGAAGAACATTAAAATTCAAGTGAAATTCTCTTTGACATTTGAGAGCTGCAAAAGCAACGACTAAAAGCTAGAGAAGCCTGAGCTGTACTAAGCGTGGCTGTGACACGTATATAAATGCAATCCATATCTACTATTGCTATCTTAAAGGCACTGTTCTTACTTTTGCCCTGAGAGGTAATCTTTCAGCATACAATCATGATTGTATACAGGTACCTTAAATAGTTACATGTCCCTGAAAAATACTAGGCAGATTTCTCAGCTGTTTTGTTATGCAGAGTGTAATTAATATGTATAACAGATTCCCTAGGGTACTAATTGAAGCTGCCACCATGAACATAGTCAAAGAGAAGTTAAACAACCAGTTGGGGGAAACATGACAGGGTGAAATATGCACATGTAGGTGGAAAGAGGGAGACTGTCCATCTGGCCTTCTTCCGTTCCAAAATGTTACACTTGCTCAATTCTTTCTGGTGGATTAATTGCACATCAGTGTCACATACATGCTGTTTAATAACTGCAAGGCTCAATATCTCCATTATATGTGGGAAAAACTCAATTCAGATGAGCCATTCCTGAGAATTTGACTCAAAATACCTTTTAAAAAGTGAATGAATGATAAATGATTATTTTGGAGTCATTCCCCAGGACTCTCATCACCTTGCAGCTCCTGGATCCTCTAGAATGTGAGGTGAAAACACAGCTCATTTCACACTCGCTATTAAACAAGCACCAGCTAACAATGACTTTAATTCAGCTTGCACTGAATCTGAACTAGCCCTATAGGCAAGAAAGGTCCCTTGTCTTATTAGAAGTTTCATGTACTATCAGGTCCCTGCTGGATCCCATTTCTAATTTTTATCAGATTGAATGAAACATAAAGAGGGAGTGATTTATGACTATCTTGCATCTTGCCTAATCACTCCAAGCAGTTTTCATACACATTTTGCGTTCTCTTTATAAGGTGTAAATGACTATACATGATGGAAGCCAAGTGAGAAGTAGAACTGTGTTCTCTTGTTATGTGTGCTAAAGCACAATGATTTGTGAGTCCTGTCAGTGCATGTTCTTACAAATACAAACCCACTCCAGCCCAAAAGCCAGCATGATCATCAAACTACTATAAGAATAGGAACATTTCCTCTGTCTGTAACAGGAATATACAGTTACTGGGACTTAGCTAAACTGCAATGATCACCTACTGAAGCTAAAAATATGTGTTTTATTGGTACATAAGAGCCCATTAAGACTGAAGTATTCAGTATTTAAACCACTGATTGCTGGTAGCTCTAACTGAAAATGCCTTTTCTCAAAGAGCCAGGACATCTATATAGCAACTTTCTTAATTCAATGATATATGGTTGAGTGTTGCTGCTAGTGCCCTAAGATTTAAGAACTTCTCATAAAATGCCCTGGAAATTGCTCCCTGGTAGCTTGCTCATCCTTCACAGAGCCCTACTGTAAAGAGCGGAACCATACGTGTGTGTATGGTGTGAGAGAGATGCACACACAGAGTGAGAAAGAGCTCTTCATCAACGGGATGGCGAAGCCTTGATACATAGGTGCAAAATATTCCCATGTGTCTAGAAATCATTTGGCACATTTCTAGTTATTTCCCCCCGTCAGACCTTCTCAAGGATTGCAATTAAAAATCATAATCTTTTTAGCATGTACAAACCTCCCCAAGGCTAGAAGCACTATGTATTGAGTATGATTGTGATATTATTTGGCAGCTATTCATAGACAACATATTAATTTATGGAAACTGGATGAAACTTGGGGAGTGCAATCATTGGGACACATTGAAAGCTTTCCTCAATGATACTGACCTTTTTATAGCTATGATTAGGGGCAACTTGAATTCTATTATCTCTTTCATCGCCCTTCTTACTCTCCTAGTCTTTTTAATGATTGTACGCAAGAACTTTGTTAAACTTGCATTTTCAAATTGATATAAAAAGAACTTACTTTACAGGAATGTTTCTCAATTTTGTCTTTTCAGCAGCCTGTAAACAGAAGAGGGGTGGGGGAGACAAACAATTAAGTGACACACCAAAGCACAACCAAGCCACGAGCAAACGTCAACCCATGGAGGCTCTTCAGAAGCGCACAGCCAGGCAGCCTGCCATGACCGGGGCAGAGGGCTGCCGGAGCGGACCCTGTCAGAGAGATAGCGCGGCAGGTTTTAAATACTCCTGCCCCAGTTTGCGGTATCAGTGCGGTTTGTTTATGTTTAATGGCCACGAGTGTTTAGGAACCGCTCATTCAGGGCGATTGCTTCATTTCCCGCTCTGAGGTCTGGCCCCTTTGTCACAAGCTATCTGTCCTTATCTGGAACAAGAACAACAACAGGAAAAAATAAAGGGAAGAACGGACTCCGTTTCCAAAACAGTTTTTATTCGCCAACAGCAGAAAAGGGCAAGGGATGACCAAATGTTCAAATCAATTTCCTCTTGTGAAACCTTTGAGAAAACACACTCCAAATCATCTACATGAGTAAATCTTTGGGCCTCTCGGCCTGTACCACCTCAGGCCTGGAGCCTGGTTCCAGTTTATTGCTGAACCCATTGATCTGTGTACAGTCCATTTATCATTCATGAAAAGAGCCAGTGATCTTCACAGTATATTAGAAGAAACAACTCAGATCATCTGTCAACGGCCCTCTTATTTCTGTTTCCCTCTCCACGGGGATTTCATCTCCTTCGATTCTTCTTGAATTAAAATGTTGCTAAGCAACACAGCTGGGGGCACCAATGGCAGAGCCGCGCCAGTCTATCACACTGGTTAAGCTGCTCGAGATTTTAGTGGAGATTTTTTTTTTTTTTTAATGCTTCTGTGGCATAATTATGTAATCTGAACCAACCTTGCATCCCCCCTCTGATTTTTTTCACAATAGGTAAATAACGTTTTAACACAAGAGGGCTTGAAATATCACCTTCTGATAAACTGGTGTTGTCATATCATTTCAGAGAATTCCTCCTAGCGTTTGCAGAACCAGACTGTAATAGATTTAAATGTGGAGAGCGGTCAGATGGTTAGTGAGATTACAAGCACGGGTAGCGGTGAAAGGCAGAATTAAGACAACTGATCCACAAACCTAAGGAAAGTTTTAGTGCTTAATTACCTTCAGAAATATTTTTACAAAGCCTACCAAAATTGAAAAGAAGTGTTTTGGTGAGGAACTTCAACCTCTGCTATGCTTACAGATGGGAATAAAATGGTTCCCACATAGGAACTGCTAATATTAGTGGTCCTGAAAAATGCTCACATAAACCCTTTAGGAATTAAATCCTTTATGAAAACTGACTCACTCTTGAAACCTCTAGGACCTGCACAACTGGGTTCCAAATTTTGCCAGAATGAGTTTTCCTTTGGGCTCTACAATGGCACTAGTTTTTAAAAATACCTGCTGTTTTGGCACTTTTGCCTGCAATCACAGAAAAGATAAAATTTGTGTTTAAGTCCAGGGAAACCCCTAATAATGAGTTTAAAATTGGGGAGAAAGAATTAGAGCTTGTGAGAGCTGAGATGGGGTAACAGCAATCCTCTGGGCGGGCTCCCAGTGTGCAGAGAAAAATGTCTTTGTTTCATTTGGATTATATTTTCCATCTAAAGAATAAATCAATGAATACACAATAGGAAACAATTATATTAATTGTACAGTCGGATTGCTAAATAAAACACTTAAACCTCAGGAAATGCTAAACTTAAGATCGCACAAGTATGTGTTACAGACTCAAACCTAATTATGGCCTCTCAAACAAGCCTATGATGAAATGGGGTCCCTGCCTCATTAGTGAGATAATGTGAGTTGCGCCTCATTCCAGTGATACTCTCCCAAATCTCCCTTTTTCAGCTGCCATGTGCTAATGCAGAGTCAGAAGCATGTTATTAAGAAATCTTTCTGAGTAATAAACTACATGTAACAACACACAAATGCTTAATTTTAAATGGATTAAAACACCATCAAAAATGGCATTTCAGTTTCCCAAGCTTCCCACTAAATGCCAAGTTTCAGTCCCATCCTGCAGGGAACTAAAATTATTTTTAAAGCTCATAAACAGCCCTCCATGATGGCAGAAGTTTTTTTGACTGTACAGTGATATTTTGCTTAACCTTTCTACATACCAAATAGCTGGACTATAACAATTCTGAGTTCAAGCATGTGAAACTTGCATCTAAATCATTTTTTTTTCCCCCTGAATTATTCAAAAATCACTACACAAAAACTGATAGCAAAATACAGATAAAGAAAAGAAAACAGAAGAGGGGAGAGTGTCTAGGATTACAAGTAAATAATAATAATGCAGTCAATTCTAACACAAAGGGAAGCAGAAGATATTCTGGAGAGCATGTGTGTGATGGTGTGAGCTAAACTGTTTACATGAAAGATTAAAGAAGATGAAGATATTTCAGGGAGTGAGAACTGGCAATGTCAAAGTAATAGAATATTAAAGAGCACTGTCTAAACTGGATGTTTGATTTTTGACTACTTGGCTACACTGATGGCAACTGCTTACCCTGAAAGAAACATGGTAGCTTTAGGAAGAAAGAATTATCGATATATTCTATTTTCTTGGGCCATGAACGTTCTAGCACATATCTTTCCTTAGATTTTTACGTGGTGAATTTCCACATTTTTTTCCCTTTGCTACTGGGAGAAGGCACTTTCCTAACTCTTAAGAAAAGGCACATGCTGGAGGGACGGTGTCCTTCATACACATGCTCGCTCATACAGAGCTTTAAACAAATATTGCAAATGCTCAGGATACTCTACATGCCAGCCTAGTTTAATGTTGGATGATCAAGCAACTGGTCATTTCGTATTACAGATGATTCAGTTTGCCTCTGAGTGGGACCACAGTGATGTTAAACACAGCACAGAATACATGTCAGGGATTCCGCCTGAGAAAGAAATGCAGGATCTGGCCTGCTTTTATTTGTCTTATAGGTGTTGCTCATTCATTTTTCAAAGCATATTTGTTGCGATATCATGAGCATGCCCAGTGGCAGAAGATAAAGGAAGGCAAAATCAAAGTGACATTGAGTAACTCTACACATTAAGCTTTGAAGCAGGAACATATTGTTTGAAAATATTTGGTGTGCAGCAGGTCTGTCAATTAGAGCTAATTATTTTTCTCTGATCAGGAAGAATGTAATCTTATTTTAGGCAGGTTTCTTTGAAATGTATGTCTTTTATATAACTTCATTATAGGAAAATACTTCTTCCAAATTACTTTTTTTTCTGGGCAGCTTAGCTATTGACTCAAATTGTCTATGTTGAGTAGTTGTCTCTGCTTTGATAATTAACTTTTGATCATTACTGAATTTAGCAGCTCTAGTCAGATGTGTTCTTATCCATCCTCCTCAACTATTTCAGTGTTCATCGCCTTTAATCTTTGAACAAAATGATCTCATTGAGCCTCCATCAGCCTCGCTACTCAGTTAATAATTCCTGTTTCTCATCTTCATGACAGAGTTTCATTTGTTTTAGACTTGATGAGAGCTTTTGATTATTAATTTAAGACATTTCAAAGACAAACATGTTTTAAGAGTTATTTTTTTATCTTATATTCCTAGGCCTTTACAAATAAGAAACTGGTTTTACCTCCATGATGATTCCTAAACTTCATGTATTAAAAGTACTATCAAGAAACAGAGCAGGTAGGAGGTCCCTAAACCATGACACATGAGCCCTGGGTGGGAGCTGATGCTGCAAAAGATTGGAATGAAATTGGACTGGTAAAATGTAATATTCAATGGGTGTTAGGAGAATTACATCATGGGACCTTTGCTAATTTTGTGCTTGAAAATATGCATTAAAATAATTTAGGATGATTAGAAAATGAAAGGCAGAGTGAACAAGACAATCATTCTACTTTAATTTGTAATTTCCTTCTGATTTTCTTTTTACAATTATGGCCTTTCTGTAATTGTGCCTCTGCTCTCTAGACCTTATTTCAAGAGCTGACTCTAGTGTTGAATAAGAAGGAAGAAGATGAAGAATACAAGAAAAACAGCAAGATACAGAGGATCATCTGTCAGAGAGTATTTGCCCTGGGATGTTTTCCCACGACTTTTGTAACTGTGAATGACTCCTACCACTTATGTTGTATTACACCTGATTTTGACACTAGTTATTTCAGGATTAGTTCAAGAACCACCTGCACTGTGCTTTACTTGATCTGCAGGGTGGATATACCCATGAACTTATTTTGTTAGCTGGTATTTAACTGTTACAGAAAAGATTAAAGATGAGAATAAGCACAAACTGCTTCTAGATTGTGCACAAGGACCGCAAAATGTGAAAAAGGATGGTTTTCTTTGTCACTATCAGTTATCAATTCTGCTGCTGCAAATCTGACTTAGGTTAATCTCCCACTTTCTAACCAGCACTGTATGCTTGGGTGAATAGCTCAGCAACTTAATACAAATAAGTTTACAACCCACCATGCCGTTCTCCTGTCCTGTATATATAGAAGAGACTCCTTGGAGACCCAGTTCAACAATCCAATAATGAAGTTATACCATGCTCTTATATATACAGAAGGCCTTACCTATGATCCTAACCAAACCCCACTGTATTGTGCTCTGATTCTGCAATGGTACAGTTAGTGCTAACCATGACTTCCTGTGGAGCAGGAGAATATAGTGTGCAGCAAACAAACCGTCTGGAATTGTGCTGGGAATCAGAAAGCCCAAACTCGAGGGCTGAAGGATTAGTATGTGATGACACATGCATAAATATGTGTGTTGTGTTGCTTTTTTTCCTTCTTTACTTCATTGGTTACACTCTCCTCTACCTGCCCCCTAATGTCAACAGAGGAGATTGTATTTCTTGCTTGCTAATTGCCTTTGACGTGAAGTTGGCAACCTTGTATTTGAGATTCTGTGTGTGATATTCTGGGTCAGTCTCACCTCGAGGACAAAAAGCCCAATGTTATTTTATCTAGGACCAAAAACAATGCAGAAGATACTCTCCTCATCATGTTGTATTTTTTAAAAA